ACACAATGTGCATATTCCCACTGAGACTCCCTCATGCGATGTTACTCACTCTCAAATGATAGGATCAATATCGATCAATCACATCTAAGTGCCGCATTAGAACGTGGCCCTGGTCGCCTTGTCCTTTGACCGTTTAACCCTTTTTTTATGATTGATGTGTTGTACTTATTTATGTGTTGAAAAAATTGTTTTTTGGTTTCTTCGAAGTATTTTTTACTGATGGTTTAATAGTTGGAAATAAAAAAATATGCAATTGATTTTGTTCTTTGTTTTTTGTCTTTGTGTTTTACTTCATAGAAACTCTAAAAATTGATAAGCAGATTAAATACCGTAGATTTGAATCTCTTGCGCCTGCTGTTGTCGGTGATTGGGACAGGATTGGTTTTCAAGCTTTATTAACTATTGGTTGCCTTATCTCAGTGAATTTCTGTCCTTCTTCGACTGCTGAAGCTAATGGAATTCTTTTAATTTTGTTGGCTTGTCTTGTGGTGCAATTAGTTGAAACTACTCCGGTATGTGAATTTTTTCTGTGAAAATTAATGCACGTAAGCGTGTTTTTCTTTCATTGCCACTCATTTAATTGATCGGTTACAATTAATGAAATTGATTAGCTTTATTACTTGTGTGCAGGTTTTCTAATCAGTGGCGTACTTCCTTAATGGCAATTGAAGCTGTTCGGGTCATCGTTCGGTGCAGGCCATTAAATAATCGAGAAAAGGCATTAGAATGTAAGGAGATCATAAGCATTGACTCCAAACGCGGACAATGTTCAATTTCAAACTATTCACGTGCAAAAGACCAAACGAAGACATTTTTCTTTGATGGAGCTTATGACTCCCTGTCAACAACAGAGGAGATATACGCCGATGTGGTATACCCATTGGTTGAAGGTGTTACCGAGGGTTATAATGGCACGGTTTTTGCTTACGGACAAACAGGGTGCGGTAAATCCTTTACAATGCAAGGCGTGTCCACAGATCCGGTAAATAAAGGTGTCATACCGAGGTATGTAACTTAGTTGGTTTCAGTTGTTTCGTGTTTCATGTGTTAATTCCATATAATATTATTAAAAAGTTTGCTGAGTTTCTGTTTGGTGAGCCCGAGTGGATTGTTTGTAAAATATTAATGGTCGCATCATCCCCGAAAACTTCGGCGGAATTACGATTTTTTCGTACTATGGTCTATTGGTTTATGTGATTATTCAATTTTAAATGCAAGCTGCATTTAAACCAACTTTATGCTGGTTGGTTGTCACTGCAGTTGTTATTCGTAACCACTTTTCTATTTTACTCCTGAAGCCAAAGGCTAAATGGCTATTGGTGAATGTTTTTCAGGTCGTTCGAACACATTTTTGAAACGACAGCTGCCATGTCTAACGTCAAGTACTTGATACACGCCTCGTTTCTAGAAATTTATAACGAGGAAATCCGTGATCTCCTTGGAAAGGACCAAAAAGCCAAGTGCGATTTAAAAGAACATCCGGAGAGGGGTGTTTTTGTAGCAGGCTTATCAATGCACAAAGTCAAGTGTGTTGAGGACTGTAAAGTACGTCGTGGTTTTACTTATCTTTATAATAACTTTTTTTACTGTCGTATAGCATTCTCAGTCATATTTATTTGACACTCGTCTGGCGCCGTCTGGTATAGGAAGGTCTCACCAGGGTCTTCCAGGCTTCTAACTTCCTATCAATCATGTTGGGTTGCTGTGTTGTTGTAAAGAATGTGCGCATTAATTAAGTCTTAATTGTAATTAAAGTTTCTGAAATACGCAGGCTGCATAAATTGTTTCTAATCTTGCGATAAGGGTCACTGCAAATGAGTTAATTAAAAACTGTTTTTTTCGCTGTGTTATCTTTCTTTATCGCGTTTTCTAACCTCAGAGGTACCAGTTTGGGTAAACCTCCCAAAAGGTTCCCTTACTGAAGTAGTTCTTCTTGAAATCATGACCTAAGCCTATGTTTCAATAATTTGTTTAACATTTTGACCAGTTTTACCTTTTTAGTTGATAATGGATCAAGGCGGAAAGAACCGTCATGTCGGTGCAACTTTGATGAACGCAGATAGTAGTCGTTCGCATTCAATTTTCACAATATATCTCGAAATGACTGTCGCGGATGAGGGTACTAACACAGATCACATAAGAGCAGGCAAGCTCAATCTAGTTGACTTGGCTGGTTCAGAGAGGCAGTCGAAGACGAATGCTACTGGTGATCGACTAAAAGAGGCTACGAAAATAAATCTCAGTCTTTCAGCTCTCGGAAATGTTATATCAGCACTTGTGGACTCCAGCTCAAAACACATACCTTATAGGGACAGCAAGCTAACACGGCTTCTCCAAGTTAATTTCATTTGTTTTACTATATTTTGCGTGATATTTGTCCCCATTTAGCGAATACACGTTTTTGTTCTTTATCCGCAAGAGTTAATGAGGGAGTTTGTACTAATCGTATAGTCGGAGTGTTTTTTTACAAAGTAAAAATTCTGTTTGTGATGTAATTTGAGTGGCTTTTTAAAGTTTTTTCTTGTATGGTAAATCAAGTAATTTTGCTTTCTGCTCTTTATATTTGCCAAAAAAATTTGCGACCAACCGTCAGATCAAATTATGTCACATTGGCCCTCCTCTTCCGTTTGCTATCTTTTAGTCTTATTATAATTTATTTGCGCTAAAGGATTCGTTAGGAGGCAACACAAAGACTCTGATGGTTGCATGTCTCTCGCCAGCTGATAACAATTACGATGAAACTCTGAGCACGCTGCGCTACGCGAATCGGGCTAAAAATATTAAGAATAAACCCACAATCAATGAGGACCCCAAAGATGCTCTTCTGCGCCAATATCAGGAAGAAATTGCACGACTGAAGGCATTACTGGAAGAAAAAATGCCTGTGAATCAAATTTCAGCTCCATCAAGCAAGCCAGAGGCCTTGCGTCTGTCTGTCCTTGACATGGAAGCGTTTGCGAAGGAAAAAGAGCAAATTAAAGAGGTAAGCGCGTATGCACACCAACTATGTTTTTGTTTTGCCAATTTCTGTTAGTATTTCCACATAAGAGGCGGTTGCATTAAGAATCCATGTATATTTAAATGCGTACACATCGTGTGTGCATTGGGTTTTTAATTTTTTTAAGCATGAAACATTGAAAGTGAAATGCAAATGTGCAAAACTGTATCTATATTTGAAAGCTAGAACCTTCTATTGCTCAGAAATTTCTCAATTCATCATTCTCACGGTATTATTTATAGACAATGCTATTTCAATTTAGTCTGCTCGGTCGAGGGTCCATTAGTTTAGGCAAAAATTGTGTGGACTTTGATGTTCTACACAACCGTAAACGTTTTTAATCTATTTATGTGAGGCCTATGAGAGACGACTTCGTGAAAAGGAAGCTATGTACGCTGCGGAAGCTGCCAATTCAGCAAAACTTCAGGAAGAGATCTCTAAACTTACTAAATTATACGACACAAAGCTACGGAAACTGGAGGATAAATATAGGACCCGTTCCACGTCAACGGATGGTAATGGTTGACGTTGTGCAAATTTTCTTGCTGATAACTTGAGGGATCACGAAAATATCTTCTACCCTAAAATAGAATCAACAGGTAGCGCACGCAATATCCAATCTTCGTATTCACCTACTGCTCTCCCTTCTAATCTTCGAGCTTCGAATTCAGAGAATCTTCCAATTTTGCGGAGTTTGGATAAACTCTCTCCTCTTCCCAGGTGGACCTCAGGTTCGCACACCTCTTTAACGGCACTCGTTTGTCTTTTCCCCATCATAAAGTGGGGGAGCTACACGAACACCTATATGTGATGACCCTGATAGCTCTATTCAACCAAAATAGTCGTTGCCACTCTTATTTTAAAGGCGGAAGTTACTATTCTACTTCTGATTCTATAAACGAATGCCCTTTTTATTGAACCATCGTGAGTTTTAGTTAGAGATGAGGTGCATTCACAAAGCACCAAAATTCGGCTCGTTACTTCCTATGAAGGTCACTGACACATATGGAGGACCTTTTCCCAGGTTTACTGTTTCGCTGTGGTTGAGGTAGTTTGAATTTGCAACTTACTGATTAAATCTTAGCAGGCAAAAAGTCACGATCATTTTTTCTGCTTTGATGGTCTGGTTGCTCTTAAAAAACTCATTCTTGGGGAAAATTGGTTTTTTCAGCTTCATTTTTTCTTGCCATTTGAACATTCACCCACATCTATTTTAGTATTTTCTCGCATTTCTTTGATCCCGATATACCTGGTAATATGGCCATCAGATTTTGTTGTTGCTGGCTTGCATAATGTTTTGCTGTTCTTGTGATTTGTTGCTCCAGAAAAAGAGTCGGGAGCGTCTCCGTCTCCAATTGCGTTGCATAGCCTGGAGGGAGGTTCGTCTTCGAGGACGTATCGCCTATTGGATGACTCCGCACCCCAGCATCACGTAGACGATGGGACCGGTTCGAAGGCGCTGAGTCCAGTTCGTCCACAGTTTGCAGTTCATCTGGCCACGACATCGCTCGTAGGCGTGACGACCCCCCTAGACGGCATTTCAGGTGAATACGACAGATTGACAAAAGAAGAACTGCTTAGAAGGTATGCCGCCGTTTTGTCTGAATTTTACCGAGAAATCATTAAGCCCATCTTGTCTTAGTTATGCATTTGACCACGTTTCGGCTCAATATATTTTTCGGGGATCGTTACAAAAGTGTTTGTTGAGTTCTTTTGAGAGAAAATCGTGAACTTGCATACAATAATTGAGGAGAATTTTGGCATCGTTTTTCTTTATTATGCATAATAATCAGCGTCTCAAATGCAACATCACTAGCCTACACGCGTTAATCTGGCCGTCTACCGTCTTTGTTTGCAACCCAACAAAGCAAATTTAATGTTAATTTGCAGTCTTTTGAGTAATTTTAAGGCTCGGCTTTGACCGCCTCCAGCGACAGAGCCTCCGCTTTGTCGTTAGAAAAATGGCCTTAGGTAAGCCGATTTCTCAATTAACACAACCATGTCAGAAAACCCGGTTCCCATGAAAAGCCGATAGAATGAATTTCATATTTCAAAACTTGCGTCTTGTCCACGCGCCGAGACATTTAAAGTCTTACACGAATTTCGTTCTATGCTGCGAACATGCGTGTGCGCGCGCTATTTGTAAATTTTAGGGAAAATCATAATTTTGCGTTTTGTCGACGTTATCACTTTGTCTCGCTCGCTGGTCCCCAGGACACACTTTCAGTAAAGACCTCAAAATATCTTGGAGGACTAATTCTCGTGCCTGTTAATAGCGACTATTTCAGCATGTTTTTTTTTTCTTTTGAGACTTCATTTGTTGGAGGGAGACATAGTGGGCGGCGAAGAAGCGAACAACCTGGAGGTTCAGGAACGCCGGTCGCGCCGCCGCAGACATGCTGAGGAACAGAAACGCCTCCTCGCTGAAGCTAATGCCAGCCTTGAAGACGATGGCATTATGGTCGGTATTTATGAAAGCATTCAGGATGAACTGCGGCACAAAAATAAGCTCCTTCAACGGGAGAAACAGAAGGTTAGACGTCTGAAACTCTTTCCAAGTATCCCTGAATTTGGAAGATTAATAGCTCTTCGTCCATGCTAACAATGGAATATATTGCCACATTTTATCTGTTATATTTGGCAAGCTCTTATGGTGACGTTGTAGTTTGTGAATGCTCCTATACCTTATATTGAGGGTAGCGACGCCCACTAAAACTCTCCGGTTTGTTATTTTTGAAACCGCTCCATTTTTAACTGCATGAATGGTATGATGCGGATCGTTGGTGACATGACCATCCAATCACGATAAATTACCTCTTTGTTAAGTACTGAATCGGTGTAAAATACAAGGTAAGCTCTGTTGCGGCCCTTTAGTTTTTCTCGTTTCTGCTATCTTACCGCAGAATTTTGACGTTTTTAGGATAGGATAATTCCACACTTAAAAGCTTGTCTGTTAATGATAAGTGGGCGTAGTTTTTTTAAACCATGCAAATACCAAATGTCGAGGTATTTTAGCCATAAAGCACCGTATTTTACTTGATGGTCATGCATTTTAACCTGCTAACTGCCACGTCTTATAATGTGAATAAAACACTGCCAAGACGTGCGCTTCATTTCTACTTTCAGACCAATTCTCTTGAGGCTGAAATAGAGGACCTCCAGCGCGAATTCGAACTCGATCGGGAAGACTATCTCGAATCCATCCGCAAACAAAATCGACAAATCAGTCTACTGCAGGCCATCCTTCATAAAATTCAACCCTGCATTCGGCGAGACAGCAATTATGCTAACCTTGACAAGATAAAGAAGCAAGCATGGTGAGCCTCCTTCTTGCCACAGAAACGTTTGACAGCAAGTTGTAACCTCCCGATTTCCATTCAAAAAAATCCCATCACGCGGGTTCCCTGAGTTTTTGTGAAGCATTTCTCATGCAACGTTGTAACTGGTACTTCAGTGAACAGAAGTCTTAGTAAATAAGCTGTAACTTACGAAAAGCGTCGGAAGTATCGGTTATCCAACGACACTTTGACTTTTGGATGTGTGGATAAGTTAAGTGTAACTTTTTTAGATTCAAACCTAACGTTTTATCGTTTTGTTTTGGCTGCATAAACAAAACAACATGACCTCTAATAAGCACACCTCTTACTTTGCCACCGAGCACGTGGTTCCATGAGCGCCCTGCTTGCTACTGTATATCGAATACCGCGTGGCCAATTCATTTACGTTTCTTTGTGGAATTGTTTACTATTTGCGAATAAACTGGAATTGCAAGTATGCGAAAGCATACGCGCCAATTGCCTACCGAAGGCCACGATTAAACTTTGTCTTCTGAAATATTAGCACTTGGAAAAATTCGCACAGGCAATCAAGTGTTCGTGAAATAAGGTATCTGTAACCGCATAGTTTGTATTTTATGCCTTTCGAAGACCAGTGTTTAAACAGTCATTGAAGGGACAAATCGCCAATTCCCACATGTTTTGACCACTGTTTGCATCTGAGTTTCAATAAACTTGGGGTAGCCAGACAGACTTAAAACCGACTTAAAGCCTGTGGAAATTGCCCAATTCATTCTCATGAAGACCTTAGAAACTTCGCTCACAAAAATTGATTGCGGTAATCTGTGCTTGTTGTGCAAATTTATCCCTTGCTGATATTCCACTGCATGAATTTCGACCCCAGCATGTACCCAAGTAGCGAACGACTCACTAATTTCAGTTTTGACGACGACACCAACGAGTGGATTCTCCCCGCCCTGACGATTGAACGCACGATATTGCCTGTTCCAATGAGCAGTGGCGCCGAGGACTTCTCCCAGTCCGGTGGTCGCATTGGTGCCAATCTTGTGTCTGCTGCCCCTCGTCCACCCATACCACTCAACACGCCGAATGGGACGCGGGACTCCGCTGCCGAAAACGAGGAGGCCAGATTATACGCCAAACTCGCCAGTCGTTCACAAAATAACACTGGCTACTTTGCAAGCAAGCGCAAAGAACAGCTCCTCATGGATGCGGGTAATGCCAAACATTCATTGGTATAGTTTAATTTGGTCGACCGCTTTAATAGTACGCTACCCCAATCTGATGGAAAGCAACCCGACGACATTGCAACCATGCCTACCCGTGTACTCCGAGCCAAAACAAACCAAATAGTCCTTTTTCCACTTGATTCAATGTTCCCTTGCAGAATTCTCCAGTCGTAAACCCTACTAAGTCAATTACACCAGCCTCCACATCCGTCATTTGAACAGCAAGCTCGATAATTCTGCAGTACAATGACGTCGACCTTATCTTTTTCGATTAAACTCGAGAGTCAAACAACCATTTCCATACAAGCATTCTGCCGAATGTCACATGGGGCATTCCTTCCTTAAAGTGTACATCAAAAAATTATAACACACGCCGCCATATTGATGTTACAGCAATTTACGGAAAGTCCACTTTATCGAAACGCCTTCAATGACTAGCATTTACAACCACGTGTCTTTGTTACACGCATGTTACTTAGATTAAACTTTAATTTGCCCCTGGCTTTTGACATAACGACGACGCGAAATCAGAGTTAGGCCAGAAAGGATGAACGTCCCTAATCAGAAGTCCTGTTTTCTCGTAAAGCTTGAACCTCGCCATACAATAACCAACGTAAATTATGGGCATGCGAATGGAAAGAGGAATCTTGACTTTCGGCGAAATGAGTGCTTTGCGACCCCGAAGTAAATCAAAATTACAAGCATCTAAAGACAAGCCTAGTTTTCTGAGAATGGTTAACTTTTACGATTTCTGAAGTGGGCGAACGTGCAACTAGCCAGTAAAAAGCAACTTCCCTGAAGTGGGTAAAGCAGAGGCGCACTCTCAGTTCGTGAGTTTGTTAAATTACGTCTCGTCCTCTCGTTGATTCTAGTAAATAAGCTTTCTCGGGAGGTAGGTAGTCGCGCCAAAGTGAGAGCCTCGTTATTAACAACACGAACACCCTTTTCAACTATCAGCGAATGAACTGGCTTTGGAACCAGAGTTAGACAGAACGGCGGCCTCTCGTCAACCTGAACTCGCGGCTGTTGAAGACCGACTTGTAATAAACGTCGGAATTTTCGAAGCTCGCTACCCCCTACGTATTGTCTGCCTTCATGTAGCGCCATTGCCACATAACCCTACCGTTAATTGACCGCCAATTTTACCCACCCCCACACCCTCTTTTGATAAAAATGTTTTGTCTTTTGTAGAGAGAATCAGTGCCTTTCGTCACCATAACCCGAGCAGCCGGACCGATGGTGAACTCCATAAAAAAGGCTCTATGCCGAAATTTTGAACGTGATGCTTGTCTAAGACTCCACATAGGCTTACGTAAGTGTCCAAATTCGTCGTAGCCATCCAAAACGGGAACCTCATTTATCAGGTCACTTGGCGCTACGAACTAATCTCCGAAGCAGCTAAGTCATTGTTTTACATACATTCTGCAGAACACACAAGACAAAAATCTTTTGGACTGAATTACCACTCCAATACCCGCACTCCCACAGGTTACAAAATCGTTTACACTTATCTTACTACACGAACTCGGCCCCACAAAGCACGAATAATTCGTACATCCAACCTGAGGCTGGCCAGTTTGTTCCAATACCGACTATTACAATTTAGATGGCGATTCTCATAAATGTTCTCAGAAAGCCCCCCTTCTGCAGATTTCACTTGATGTCACTTACCTTATACTACAGGTCTGTGAAGTTAGTTCTCTCGTACGAGCGCGTCAATCAGGTCTTCGGTGTACGTCGTCGCCACTTGCAATGGACACCGCTTGCTTCTTACTGTTCAAAATCCGACGACACTGTTGTTCATTGCTGATAGCTATACTAGTACCTACGCTGAGCGACTGGACATTACTGGGGCCAAAATATTTTACGATGCACACCCACCTTATCACCTCTACCATCACGGAAGTTCCAGTGTTTTTTTTCTATATTCATCTACACTGTCAACTCCACCATAGAGGGCAAAAATAAAAATGAAAGAAACGCTGGCTTTTGTACTGCAAAGAAGGAATGGCAAAAGGAGGAGTAGCATGATGTTAGCCACATAAACTCACAGCCACGCCAAAGAACGGCAGGGGGTTATGGGTCGAGGGTGGGATTACTCGGCAACTGAGCAACCTTGGTCTCAGACTTCTCCGATGTGGTCGGCGTTGAAACAGTTGGACGATTATCATCGTCAAAGAGTGCAGGCCAGTCTTCCAAGGGTTCCTGCTTTTTGGCAAGCCGTGCATTCAGGTCTTGTAGAGCAATTCGTCTTTAATGCGGTAACAGGATACAAAGCACAATAAATCACGGCACAAAAGTAGCTAGTTTTGCTGTAAAAGTGGTATGAACCTCAAGAAGATTGCCGTAGACATTTGGCTATTGAGAGCTGTGTTTCTAGTGATAATTGTGAGTTTGAAAAGATCAAAACAGATTTCGATAAACTATATTGAACGAAACTCCCGACGTTGGTAGTGAATGGCGCCATTGTGGCTAAGTCGTTATGACCTGAAATCTCAACAATGGACAAGGGATTCGATTTGTGAGCACCACATTTGCCTGTGTGCATATCGTGCTACCGTATAAATTTATATTACTGGATATTAAATATGTGTTTTCAGGTTTTAATGGCTGGAATACGAATATGACCGTGTATACTTTCTTTGAGCATCTTGAACGCGATGATAAAACCCAAATAAGTAGCCGGAAAATTTTATTGCATGAGAGGCTTAAATAACCTCAGAGAAGTGCCACATTAAAAGTGATTCCAAACGTTTTGTTTCAGAGACTTCAGTGATGGTTACAAGGGTTTTGATCACTCAGAAACCAAAAAGGTGTAAGTTAGGTAAAAGGCCAAGCACCCTGAAGGGATAAGTATACACGCTTAATAATGTCCTTTGGTTACCATGGGAGACCAGTTTTAGGATGCTGGTACCTTTTGAAAATGTGACTATGTGCAACAGTTTGCAGCGCCCAGGTGTCAAATGTTAACTATGCTACAGCTACCAGAGCTCGTGGAAGTTCGTACAACCCTAAATTTCGTTAAAATTGAATATTCCTCGAGTTAAACGTATATCATTAAGTGTCATATAACATAAAGACTAATTTGAGTAAGGAAACTCAAAATTTCGTTGAATTCATTGCCATGTTCACGAATTTAAGCTCAGGGTACGTGTTTTTGTGATATCGAAACGCTGCGCGCTTAAGCGAAGATAAACCTTATATATACATTTTCGAACCACCTTCAAATAGATTCATGGTGAGCAGGTTATAATTGGTGCAGGGCTCTGGATTAAACGTGATGATCTGATAATAACATTTGCTAGATTTGAAACCTGAAATATATAAACATTTTCTGGCGAAATGTAACGCTCTTCTGGAAAAATATACAAAATCCGACGTACCAGGAGTTTCATCAGTCTCAAATATATTGCAAGTTAATTTTTGGATATTAAACAAGGCAATCTTAGCAATATCTATTTTAGTCTAGTTTAAATTAAGACAAAATTACTTCAACTTCTAACAAAAAATTCTGCAGATGTTATGATTTAGCTATTTTGCATTTTGTAGGTGCCGCAGTATTTGAATTGTTTTGATAAAGTATGGTACAAGACATTTAATGTTATGGATACATCGAGATCATCAAAGGCAGATTACGTTGACGGTGAAAATGGAAGAACGCTAGTTAAACACAATCGATGTTAAACGATGTTAAGATATCAGAGTCCAAATCTCGGCATCTCGTAAGTTCAGTCGACCTCCAATTCCTCCAGATGACGGCTATTTTTTTTCATTTTGGTGATTTATCAATGTCGGCCCTTCAAATTACATCCAAGGGAACCATTAATCCAGAAGTCTGTTATAGTTAAACCGAACCAAATGATGCTATCTAGTGAAATATTCAGAATTTGTGAATAGCACGGTTTTTAAATAACATGCTCCTTACCGCGACTAATTTGCCCTCATTTAAACAGATTTTTGAGCTACTTAAGGTTTCCAAATAGCAAAGAGGTTAAGCAAATAACCTTTTGAAGTTATTTTAATATACGAACATCGTGGTTTAAACTAAACATGCCGAAAGTCCTAAACTTGGCACAGTTCACACCAACACTAGGCTGATGTAAGCTACCAAACATACTTGTAGCGGTCGCTCTCGTTGTAGGAAACCTTGAGGACGTCTTTGGAAAGGGAAGAAGCTGAGAGGATTTCATATTGCTGTTCTATTTTTGGACAGATTTTGAAAGCAACGAAAACGGCATAAATGCAATTGATTGGGAGTGCGAGAACACACTGGACGATGTGAGGAAAGAACCTACGTAAAAATTAAACCAATCATGAGAATATCAACATCTTTGTTTTTAACTTGTACAGTCCAGCACAATTTACAATCAACCATTTTAATTTCAATTTAATATTCATGATCATGCAATAAAACCTGAGATTCAGGTTTTACAGTACTTTATCAATGCTAAATCAAATCCAGGCTGATGCTCTTCAAAAGCGAAAATAAAAATGGGTGATTAAATCCAAAATTTACCTAACAAATGAGAAGCTGTTCCGAAAATCACCACGTTTTCCATCAGTGTGTTTCTGGAAGAACCTCAAGTATATCCAACCGAATAGCAGGCCGAAGAACGAATACGCAAAAGTGATTGCGGGAACAATACCAAAAAAACTTAGAAAAGCGAATGAGCTTAAGTACAGTAAGGGTGCGTAGCAACAGAAAATCTGAAATGTTTTGTGCGAAGTGGAGTCGGTCATTAACTGTTTCGTAACCACCCCAACTGCAGCAGCGAAAGAACTAGAACCATGTACACCTGTGAAATACAGATCGGCCTCTGTTCTCGTGTTTGCAAACTTCACGTAGTAGTAAATAAGACAAGCAAAGCCAGGGAACCAGGTAGTAATTAACAAAAACTTAACTTTCTCAACTGTATTCCAACGTTTTTGAATGATTACTTCAAATGCATAAAACGAAAAAATGTCGACCAAAAATAAAATGACGTTTGTGTTGACAAAGAAAAATGTAAACAATCTATAAATTTGAAAATTTGGGTAGTACAAAGAACATGTGAGCAACTTCAATTCGTCACAAATTCCAACAGTAAATAAAGAACAGTCGACGAAAAAAATTACAAGAAATAATTCCGCTAAAATAGTGAAAGAAGAAAGTGGATAAATGACACGACAAACACGCATAGCCCAAAAGTAATCGACCCAGGAAAATAAGAACAAATGCGCGGGGCTGGTATAACCACATAAAACAACATCAGTTATGTGTACATTTTTTAAAAAATGAAGGCAAATTATTTGCATGCAAAAATAAGGCATTGTAACATAATCAAAACAATTTATATCTTAACGCAACTTTCATATGGCTTCATATAAATGTCAGCAGACTAATCACTTCCTTTGGAAGTAGTTAAATCTCTGTGTTTAACTCATGTGTAAAAGTGTGCAATTTTAAAACTACGTGATTTTGTAATTTCGCTTAGATTTGTAGTGACAAATAAAAATCAAGACAAGGAGAATGAACACATAACAACACCTACACAATATATTTATTTTAAAAAATCAAAATTTTGGTGTAGATATAAAACTAACTTATTTCCAACTGCTTCCAATACACGATGCCTCCATTTCATGTGATTTGACATTTGCCATGAAGGACACTCAAACATGCTCACGAGTTTTGTTGATACTTCTAACATTTCGGTGCAGCAAATGAACTTTTATGTACGGTGAGGGGCTACAAAGGAATCGGATTGGGATTCGTTTATATCACTAAAGGTTCGGTTTCAAGTACAGTACCCATCTAGTGCAGTGCACGTAACCGTTTATAGTGGCGCCATTATCGCCACACGCAGTGTTGTGCCGGGCGTTCACTCGTACCTACAACAGATTCGATGCTGGTTCAAAGCAGTAAAAAGTGCCTTTCATGTCGTTCAAATGCGTGTTCGGTGACGGCAACTTTGTTACTCGTGCAGTGCGTTCGTACTCCTGTCTAACGAGGGTCTCCATGTTGGTGGTCAACTTCCTGTTGTTAGTGAGATGCCAGGTGCGTAGGCCCCGTCTCACATCCTCACACAACTTAGGTGCTACTCCGACGGCTCCTTACTGTCTTTGCAGTCCGATATGATGTGCCGCTATGATCCCAATTATGGCACTGTTTAGTGCGTATGAGGGTCCGGTGCAATCCCCTGCATTCAGTTGCTAGCCTCACTTCGTGAGTAGTGTCGTCACGCAGCCCCGCCTGCTGGTAGTGCTTTGCGTCATTTCAAGTCGATGCCTCATAGGCACCCAAGTCTCATCACACTCGAGACACTCTACAACCGAATAGTTCACCAAATTGCCATGTGCGATTCGACGTGTACCTGCCTAACACGCAAGTTCTGCCGCCACACTGTACCCTGGTTCGGAGTTTTTTGTACTCCGACCTCCACATGGTAGCCACAAAACTGTTGTTAGATTTCCCAAAGTGCCTGGACGTGCCACTGTTCGCCCGCCTTAATTCCTGTGGCAAACACTGAAGTAGAGCGCGACACAGACCCTCACCCGCCGACCACCTCGCCAGTTTTGAGTTGCACGATACCTGTCGCCTTCGAAATGTGCGATCTCACCGCTAGCTAATAAACAACGTCCACGGGAGCTCGTCTGGCCCTAACTGTCAATTCGTTTGCCTGCACATTTGGCCAGACATTGGGGTAAGTT